GGGGGGGGGTAGCAGCCAGAAATGTGTACAGATAGAAACTGGAGATATGGGATGAGATGGACCTTAATATATTAGTACCTTAATATACCATCTGCTTTCAGGCCCTTCTAAATAACTTCCATGGAAAACAAACACTTTTATATACACATGGAATTTAAAAAAACATCAGGACACATTCTTTAAAGGATGTGATTAGAAATACTCATCCTTGAAACTACTTGATTAATCAAATTGTTGACTCTCCATCATCAATACAGTAAAAAACAACTATTCACCGCCCTCAGATTGGAATTTAAAAAGTGAAGAAAATATTGTGTAAATGGGTAATGATCTAATTCAATTAAGTACTTAGAGAGCCATAGACAAGCCATCATACATCAGTGCCTTGCTTGCTGTACTCATCCAACACTTTTATGTCATAAAGTATACAGGACTGGGCACATGTTCTGAACATATTTCTCTAAATTGCTTTGTTTTGTAAACCTGTAAAAAATCTAGTTTCATGAAAATACATAATAAAAATCATAATTTAAATGCTTTTATTTAAGGAACATTTTTGCTTTACAAAATGCTTTATAATTAATGGCTGCAATAAAAAATAAAGCTATGTTTTGGTATGTACCACTTTTACATTACCTCTTACAAATACAAATGTATATACAATAAAAGACATAACATTCCTAGAAAAAGACTTTTAAACATGTACACCAAGCCAACTTGCAACAGAGCAATGGAAATGTTCTGATTTAAAAACCTGCGGCTACTTGAGGATTTCAGCTACATAAGTTAATAAAAGGTGAGCAGGATTTAGCCTTAAACTTTCTAGCATGTCCTGAGACTTATGTCTTACGGGGCATAACACATTAAAAAGGTTAAAATTCTAAACGCAGTTTCAGAAATAAATATTGCCTCAGTCTTTAATAGTCAGACCAGTTGTTCTCGGGTACCCAGCCCCCTGAGCTGGAAGACAGGGACAGGGAGCAGAATGAAGCCCCCATAATCCAAGGGCAAATGGTTAGTGACCTGCTACACCACACAGACACACCAAGGTCTATGAGGCTGGATGGGGTCCCCCTGAGGGTAATGACGGACATGGGTGGAGGGACGCC